TTCCAGGGATTCTGGAATGTGGAAATGGACAGAAGGAAGGAAATGGGAGTTTGGGAAATGGAATTGGCAGCTTGAGCCCTACAGCTTCTAGAATTTTGTAGCTGCAGATAAGGTGGAGGTTGGGAGGGTTAGAATATGTTATAGATAGAAAAGTTACTCCCATCACTAAATGGTGAGATTATAAGGGGTGGAATGAAAAAAACAAAGGTGTTTCTTTCTCTTTCGTAGTCTTCAAACAAAATTCCAAACATTACTACAAGAAGCAGCCCTGGACAGGAGCATTCCTAATATAGACTCAGATGAAAAGCATCATTTTGTCATAAGTCCCACTCATTATTTGAATACAACCTCAGTAGAGCTAAAGCCTTATTACTGTTGCATTCAGGGAGAGAGTGGAATCATTGTAGCATCTCTGTCAGTTGTCTTGATTATATTTCAGTTGTAGGGAAAGGTCTGAAGGAGAAAGCCCCCTTCCGGTATTAGCTTCCCATGCAACGTTGAATCAAGGGCTATAAACTGTGCAGTGCTTCTTATAAACTAAGCAGAGAACAAATGAGAACTTTCCCTTCCAGGGCAGTGAAGATGGGGGGAGGGGGAGCAAAGAACAAGGATACAGCAAGGGATCATGACCAACTAGGATTGTCCCATTGTCTTGCACTCATGGTTGTAATCACATGAAGGAGAAGGGACAAACAAGGCTGGAAGATCATTGTCCCATTGTCTTGCACTCATGGTTGTAATCACATGAAGGAGAAGGGACAAACAAGGCTGGAAGATCATTGTCCCATTGTCTTGCACTCATGGTTGTAATCACATGAAGGAGAAGGGACAAACAAGGCTGGAAGATCTTACATTCCACATGCCAGCCCTGAATCATGTTACAAATATCCTTTTCCAGATTAGTCAGTATCCTGAAAAAGTTATGACCTCTTCAGGTAGGTTGCCACGTGTGCTCAGGAACATAGCTCAAACTATAAGTCATTCTTAATACTGATTCACTATAGGATTTTTAAACAATAGACAAAAGTGTATTTTGCTGAATTGAACCTGTTACCCCACATACAACAATTTCTTCCAGTTGAGAATTTTTATTGACCCCCTAAAAGTATTTGAGCAATTTATTTGGAAAATAGGAAAAATGCGACACATTTTAATTGTTTTAGCTGAGAGAAATTAGTAATTCAGTTTAAAACCGAAAAGCAATAGTAAAATGCAAAGTCCTTAGCTTGATTAATCAATTAACTAGGTAGCATACTCTTGACTGGATTAGCACATGGCCAGGATAGTTTTTTTTAAATTGCTTTTATTTAATAATACAGGGAAAATATAATAAAAGAAAAAAAGAAAGCAATAGAACAGAAAAAATTATATATGTAGGCTTCTCGTACATGTATATATGTATAAAAATTTTACAAAACAGTTTCAGTAAAGGATTACCATATTTTATTGCACATGACTGGGAGAATTGTTAAGGCTGATCTGCCATCTGTCTTTCTGAATTTTGTTTGCCACATTTAGGTATTCAGCAACACAGTTAGATTTAATTTAGGTTAGCTGATGTTTTCTTTGTTGGAAAGAACATTTTTACATTTTTCTGGAACTAAACATTAGACTCTTCACAAAGCACACCTCTTGATTGTTAGGACTCAATCAAAGTGATCTTTTCTTCATCTGACTGCCTTTTTCCAGGAAATTTATTTTTAGGATCCTAGTCTTATACTAAAGTTTATCTGTTTTTTACGTGTACATGATCAGATGGGGATATATTCCACAGTGCAGGAGATATACTGCATCAGATATTATGATGAGGACCCCCAAGAAGTGAAATATATAATGAAAGTCTTTAATAAATTCAATGCTTATTTTGTTTGATTGTATAGCTCAAAAAATAGTACATTTATCCTATGTGACACCCAGAGTAAACTAGTTTCATTTCCATTTGAGAACTAAAAATGCTAGTTATATGCGTTCTATTCACAAAACTGTTATTATCTTTCTGCTAAACTGACAGGTCCTTGAGAGGCAGCGAGCTGTAGTAGAGTTTGAGGTCAATGAAGATGACATTGATACTCACTGGTATAAGGATGGAATTGAGATCAACTTCCAAATTGAGGAAAGATATCATTATGTGGTGGAAAGACGTGTCCATAAGATGATCATCACAGAAACTAAATATACAGATGCTGGAGAATACACCTTTTTAGCTGGAAAAAACAGGAGTTCCATCACTCTTTATGTAAATGGTATGATTTATTTTGATTTTAAAGATTTTTTTAAACCCCTGCTCCCTGTGTGAACAAGTTACATATTCTAGTTCTCTTTCTATGTTACTTTTTGTTTTCATTCAGTTGACAATAAGTAGAAAAATGCTCATATTTTTAGTGTCCGTGTTTCCATATCACATATTCCTGCATCTAACTCTTCCTGTCTGCTGAAAATGTTCATGGCAGTTCTATCATGGCAGGGAAAGTTCTATCATAGCCTTCTTCCTGATGTACCTTTTTCTATATGTAAGAGACTTGTATATTGCCAGGAACAAGTAACTCATGTATTCAGTGGATGTGTGATTCATGTGTTTATGTTAAGATTTCATATATTATTGAAGACCACCTGAAAAACTTTGTGCCTGAGCTCAGATGAGTTGAATGGATAAATGCGTGTTTCATAGGCTAAGATCAAAATGGAATGACCCATGCTAGAAACATTCAGAGGATGATGATGATTAGTTCTTGTTTGATTTACAGCACCCGAGCCACCTGAAATTCTGAAGGAGCTCCAGCCGGTCACCGTGGAATCCGGGAAACCAGCTCGTTTCTGTGCTATTGTGTCAGGCAGACCTCAGCCCAAGATCTTCTGGTACAAAGATGAGCAGCCTCTTTCTCCCGGCTTTAAGGTCAAGTTCCTTCATGATGCCCAAGAATACACCTTGTTGCTGATTGAGACTTTCCCTGAAGATGCTGCTGTTTACACAATTGAAGCAAAGAATGACTATGGTGTTGCCACCTCTTCGGCATCCCTTTCTGTGGAAGGCAAGCTCTCTCTGTCCCAAGGCTTTCTGAAAAGCGTTGGCAATATCGTGTCATCTGTGCTTTTCCGTGGAAAGCTAATCATCATTTTTTAAATTTTTTTCTTTAGTGCCAGAAGTTGTTTCTCCTGATGTAGAAGTGCCCATTTACCCACCTACCATCATTACACCGCTCCGTGATGCTGTTACATCTGAGGGACAATCTACTTTCTTTCAGTGCAGAGTTACTGGGACAGGTTAGTTGTACTCTTTGATCAGAAGACAAAAACCTCAGTTAAAATCAAGTTTTTCCAAATGATACAGCTATAACT